ACTTTTTTTTTGCAGATGTGCATTTCTCACCGAACTCATCACTGGGCAGCAACCACTGGTACTGCACCCGTTCGTTCTTCTGCTAAATCGCCGCTTCAGATGGACCGATATTGCTGTTCCCATTACTGGTACCGAAAAGTTAGTACCATTTTTTTCAATATTTTCCTCCAATTTTGTTATTTTTTTGATTATTTTAATGTTTTTTTTTTTCATGAAATGCCAGCAAATCGGTGCTACTTGGGTTACATATTTCTCTTTTTTTTTCTTAATTTTTTCAATTTTTCCTGTATTTTTTGAGATATTAACAAATTTGTGCCAGTTTGCTGTTACTTCCACCTCCATTTTTTGCAGTTTTTTGGTCCTCGCAAGGTTTTTTAAAGCAATAAATTTGTTGCTTCGAATCCTTTTACATTCCTTCTCAATTCTTGATGTTGTTTTTTTTTTTTTTTGTTGAAGTTATTTTGAAACTTTTTTTTTTGACTTTTTTCTCGCATATTCAAAACCGAAGATAAAAACTGGATTTTTTTTATTAGGTGGAATTTCTGTTAAAAATTGGGATTTAACAACAAAATTTTTGTTTGTGGCGAGGAGAGGAAGAGGGAGGGGAGGGGGAAGGCGAGTTTAACGAAAAAATTTAACTGATTGGGCTACCATGAGAACAGATTCATGTGCCTTATGTGCTAGTTGCGGAACTTGGAAGCCGATACTTGTAATAGTTAAGATATCAATATTCCAAAGTACTAGGAGCTATAGAGTTCTGATTCCTTTTGACCCGTATTCTTTACAAAACTAGATGATCTGTCCACTTCTTTTCCCTGTTTTTCGTACAGACGATCTTTTACTGGTTGTTATGTCCGTTTTTTTTTTTTTTCAGATTTCGTATCTACCGCCTCAATCAGTCAAGAAATGATCGATCTTATTATCGTTGTTCGGGCTGTGAGGCAATGGCCAAGGAGCCTGAAGATCCGATCGCGCAAATCAAAGTTGCCGAGGGTTGATCTTTTTTTTTTTATCCGTTTGAAGCTAAATAGTTTGAAAAGCGCTTTCGTTTCTTCTGCCGCCCCGGGGAGGGAGAGGGATGAGGTGGAAAAGGAGAGGGGAAAAGTTGGAGGAGGGGGTTAAAAGACCAATAATATGCATTTGTGTTTACTATTTCTTTTGGTATGTTGAAGGAATCGGAGACTTTCTAGTTGTAGTGCATTGCTGGGCCGCTGAAATTGTTTTTTTTAAAGACAAAAACACCGTAAATTAAAACTGAAGCAATAATAGTGTAAAAAAAATGCTGTGGGGAAAGCAATTTGAGTCGAAGTTAAGGGAAATTCAGTAAAAAGAGAACATTTTAAAAGACAGGTTTAGATTTAGCTTGAAAAGGACGAGTATCAGATGAACAATTCGCCAAAAAAAAAAAGAATTTTCACGCCGATAAATTTTTGAAGCGCATATACTGATTATTGTTTCAGTTTTAAGGCAGAAGGGCTCTGAATTTTATTAAATTTCACATATAGTAAAAATTTTTATGATTTAGGGGTAACTTTTTAAGTGTGGTGGACTGTATTGTGGCGTGATGTCTTGACTGTGTACGCAGAATTGAGTAACAAAAGTACGTTTATGGCTTACTGGTGATGAAGCATGTAAATAACAGGTAAACAGCACGGAGTGTGGCGCTTAAGATCTGACGGATCTGAGGGCTTGCTGGGCAAGAGATGTCCGGCACTGAATAAGTGAATAGCAGTGAACAAATTTGGCCCTCCAGCGTAAGAACAGAAGTGGAGTCGAGTAACGATGATGGTAATGTTGGTTGTAATGAGTTCTATGAAGAAAAAAAAACCCCCAAGCCCCCGGTTGAAGGGATGAATGTCTTATATAGGGGAGTA